ATTTTTCGTGTATATTTTAAAACACCTTCATGAAAATTTGTGTGTATTCATGTGGAGGATTTCAGTAAACTATCAGTTTCTGCAGCAGCTGGAAGCTGCAGCAACATAGTTTCTGTTCATTCTGACTGAGGGAGGTTTTTGTACGACTGTTTTTCACTGTGTGAACACCCACTGGCTGCTGATGTAGTGAGCACTCTGACAGTAATAAACTGCAGCATCTTCAGCCTGAACTCCACTGATGGTCAGAGTGAAGTCAGAGTTTGATCCACTGCCTGAAAAACGACTTGGAGTCCCTGATGCTCGAGTGCTGGTATAATAAATGAGGAGCTTAGGAGTTTGTCCATCTTTCTGTTGGTACCAGGCTAAATAGTTGCTGTTAAAAACTTTCTGACTTGTTCTACAGTTGATGGTAGCAGATCCTCCAATATCAGCTTTCACTGCTGCAGGCTGAGTCACAGTGACCTGACCTCTGACCTCTGAGGACACAGAGACAAAAACATGCAGCAGCTTCATGGTTTAGTCGGCTTCATTTCAGAGGGACAGATGTTCATAGAGGAGAGGAGTTGGATTCTCTGGACTTTACCTGTGAAGCAGCAGCAGAGGAGAGTCCAGATGAGGACGCAGATCAGAGTCATGTTTCTGATGATGAGGAGGATTTCTGTGTCTTCTGCTGTGATGAAGGACAGCTGTCAGTCATCCAGTGTTCAACTGTCAGGACTATAAACTCTCCCAGAGCGCTGGAGCATGGAGCTGCTGATGCAAAGTGACTCTATGGAAATGCTGTGAATGAGTCCAACAAGAATTTTGTTCTATATGATGATAATATTTATCAATGAATCAATCAAAATTAATGTGTCATTATATATTGTAAGCACTGTGTAATGTATAAATTTTCATAACAAATCAGATATCTAGATATATTTTTGCCAATCAACAACTTACATATAATGTTTCAGCCTGCTACAGTACAGATACATCTCAGTGAAGTGGAATCGTTCTCTGTCAGATTAAATGTACCTTTTGAAATTTAAAATTTTAGAATGACATTTATCATACATTTTATTAATCCCATATTTTAATTTGAAAAGTGTTTTTGCTTTATTGGTCTGATGTAGCATTCCAATCTTCTCTTAACTTAATTGTCATGTTCTCATGAACTTTAAGTGAAAAATCATCATAATTAACAGAAAGAAATGCTTGAAAAAAACCTTTAAATAAAAATGTGTGATTTTTAAATTATCAAGTTATTTGTGTTATATATTTTTTAACAGAGAGATGATCACCTGATTACTTTAGATAGATGATGATCCTATGTGTTATACATTTAACAGGTGCCCACATAAAGACACAATGAAACATAATGCATTTTATCTTCATCATTTAAATAAAATTAATCTGGATAAACATAAAATATTTTAGTAAATAAATCATTTCTCAAACTCAAGTAGAAAGCACAGTAAAACAAAATGTGCACTTCACTCTCAATTTCTCCCAAATCACATAAAGAACGTCTTCTTTCGTCCTCTGGGACTGAAAGAAACATCCAGACTCCAAAGGCAGAGAGCCAGATCCAAACTGGGCAAACATGGACCTTTGTTTGTTAGACAAGTTTTATCATACAAATGGCTCAAGACCAAAAGCATCTTTTAAAAAAATATCAGTACATAATTTTGGTTTATGTAAGATACCAGCTGCCCACTTACTAAAAACAAAGCTTCAAAATGACCTTACAATAGTTTGTCATCTATTCTGTTAAACACAGTAAATTGTTTGAAAATTATAGATTTAAAATTTTTATTTTAACAATGTTTTCTTCAGGTTCTGTTGCTTTACTTTCATGCTACTTGAAAAGTTTCCACTAATAAATGTTTTGGTAAATATGTTTGTGTCAGAGTCAGAGAGCCGTGTCTCTAACAGTCAGAGGTTTTTGTACGACGGTTCAACAAGTTTGTATCACTGTGGTACACGTTTGGTGGAGGAACCAGACTGGATGTTGGACGTAAGTTTTTCTTATTAAATCTAATTTTAAATATTAAATGGTCCTGCCGTTTATTTCCATTTACTTTCATTTATGTGAAGAAGTGAAAAGTTTTTCCGTTAAGTTTTAATTTTTTTGAAAATATTCATCTTATAATCAAAAGAAACTCAAATCAGCTTGTTAGAATTTGTGAATATTATTTAACCTTTAAGACTGAAAAAATATTAAAAGTAGTTTATTAGTAACAATTTTGGGAATTTTGCCATTTATTTGACCTTTTCTGACCAAATAAAAAAAATTGCCAAGATATAAAAAAAAATCTTATTTATTATTCTGTAATTGTGAGTATTATTTTAAATCTATGTTTAAATAATCAGCAAAGTTAAAAATTTAATCTCACATGAAATGTTTTCAATCTTCTTCAGTTGACTAAAAGTCTTTTCATAGACTGTACATCTTTTCTGGAACTGATCAACAAAGCATGTTTTGAATAACTGTTAGTTCAATTTGGAAAAGAGAATGAAGGAAAATTTTGGAAATGTTGAAATATATTAATATGATGTGAAAAATATGCATTAGACCAATATTAACTACAAGTCACAACGATTCTTGATGGATTCTTAGTTGATTCATTCAGCATAAAGTTATAATTTTCTCTCTGTGCTGATATGCATGAGAGGTTTACTGAAGGGAAGTGAAACAAAGAGTCTCAGTAACTGTTGGAGCAGAAAAACATCTGGCAGAAACATTTTAATATAGAAACTCAACTTTCTCATAGTGAAACTGTCCTGGTGTCATTTCATTGATGCTTTCTTGGTTCCTGTTCTCTAACCTGATTGGTGTCTCCTAGGTGATACCCGCCCCACCCTGACAGTGCTGCCCCCCTCCAGTGTGGAGCTGCAGCAGCAGCAGGTTACCCTCATGTGTCTGGCCAACAAGGGCTTCCCCTCAGACTGGACTCTGTCCTGGAAGCTGGACGGCAGCAGCAGCTTCACCTGGGAGGAGACCAAGAGCCCCGGGGTGCTGCAGAATGACGGCCTCTACAGCTGGAGCAGCACCCTGAGGCTCCCTGCAGACCAGTGGAGGAAGGTGGGCTCTGTGACCTGTGAGGCCTCCCAGGGCTCCCAGTCTGCAGTCACAGAGACACTGAGAAGAGACCAGTGCTTCTAAAATGAATCTGCTGTTGATTTTACCTTTGCTTTTATTTTTTCTTATTACCAGCTTCTTGGTTTCATTCCAAATGTCCTTGATATTGTTTTGAAGTGGACTGATTCAATCTTATAAGCAATAAATGTTTTACAAATGATTCTGAAATCTTATCTGTGACTTATTCACATTATTCACAAGAAATATGCACAACAGTATTACTGGCCACCACCCAGCTCTTGTCCTAGGACCTTTGGAGAAAGGCTCATATGTGACTGATTGGGATAGTGGTCATAGAATATGGATGAGGAATGACAATATCTGTTGTAGAAAAAGCAATATAAACATTTTCGACAACAGCTTTTCTTTCCAGTAACACACATTTACATATGTCAGTAACAGATCTGTGCAGCTGCAGTTCAGTTTCTTTTCATTCTGACTGAGGGAGGTTTTTGTACGACTGTTTTTCACTGTGTGAACACGGAGCCACTATGATAACTCTGACAGTAATAAACTGCAGCATCTTCAGCCTGAACTCCACTGATGGTCAGAGTGAAGTCAGAGTTTGATCCACTGCCTGAAAAACGACTTGGAGTCCCTGATGCTCGAGTGCTGGTATAATAAATGAGGAGCTTAGGAGTTTGTCCATCTTTCTGTTGGTACCAGGCTAAATGGTTGTTGCTGTAAACATTCTGACTGATCCTACAGTTGATGTTGACAGATCCTCCAATATCAGCTCTCAGTGCTGCAGGCTGCTGAGTCACTGTGACCTGACCTCTGACCTCTGAGGACACAGAGACAAAAACATGCAGCAGCTTCATGGTTTAGTCGGCTTCATTTCAGAGGGACAGATGTTCATAGAGGAGAGGAGTTGGATTCTCTGGACTTTACCTGTGAAGCAGCAGCAGAGGAGAGTCCAGATGAGGACGCAGATCAGAGTCATGTTTCTGATGATGAGGAGGATTTCTGTGTCTTCTGCTGTGATGAAGGACAGCTGTCAGTCATCCAGTGTTCAACTGTCAGGACTATAAACTCTCCCAGAGCGCTGGAGCATGGAGCTGCTGATGCAAAGTGGCTCTATGGAAATGCTGTGAATGACTTCAACAGGTCACAGGGTCACTCTTCTATTGATCAGTTAACCAATCAGTTTCATTTCAGTAATTTGATATAGCTCATACTTGTGGTCTTTTGCCATTTATTGTAAAACATAAATGTTGATCTTCTCAACTCTATTCATGATCTTTAACTACTGAAATCTTCAAATAAATCCTAAAAGTATCACCATGTTGCAATCATCTTATGGTGGGCATTCCTTCTATCTGATCTTTTGTCATATCTCCAGCCAATACCTTATTCATATTCATATTTCAAATATTAAACATATTATTTATACATAATATTTCTGTGTTTTAACCTTCAAATGTGTTAAAGTATAAGTCTTGTCTTATGTGTTTTTGCAATTCTTACTTTCAGAATTAAAAATACTGACACTGACACCTGTAAGCAACGCAACATCTGGTTGCATTTTAAAATATATTATTTATTATATGATATAGTAATAAACTATTTTTCATGGGTTTATTTGATTTCTTTGCACTGTTTTGCTCAAAATGAAAAGTTGATTAAAATATTATACAAAATTAAGAAAGCCTGTTTTCGTCACAGAACAAACACATAAAATTAGGGTAAGGTTACACATAAAGGAAACACTGAATGCAAAAGGAATCATCAAACAAAAAGTTGAGCTAAAATATGAGTTAAATATGAGTTAAAATTAAAAGCTGAAAAACCTGCTCTTGTTTGGAACTAGCTCTCTGAAACATCTGAATTTTACCATCACTATCAACAGCCATAATTTAGTCCTAGATTTGTATAACATTTTTATTTTATTCCCCATATGTACAATTTGTGTTCCAGTGCAGCTGTGGATCAGTTCCTCTGCAGCCGTGAGGTTTTTGTACAGCATTGTTTCACTATGTGAACGGGACTTCCTCGTCATGCTGACAGTAATAAACTCCTGCATCTCCAGCCTGAACTCTGCTGATGGTCAGAGTGAAATCAATATCATATCCACTTGCAGTGAAACGATCAGACACTCCGGTCCAACGTGAAGAAGCTTCATAGATTAGGAGTGTAGGAGCTTCTCCAGGTTTCTGGAGGTACCAGTGCAAATCATCATCAACAGCTGAACTGGCTTTACAGCTAATGGAGACGGTCTGTCCTGGAGTAACAGACTGAGATCCTGGAGTCTGAGTCAGGGTGATGACTGCTGAGGAACCTAAAAACATGACACAGAGAGATATTGACACAAATCCAGATCAAAGAAATATGATCAGGTTTCACATGAAAAGGAGGGATCACTGGATTCTTTTTCGATGTTTCTTAATCACAGCGAAAAGAATCCTGAGACAAGTTCCTATCAGAGCCTCACCCTGAACCAGGAGCCCCAGGATGGTCAGCAGTAGAGTCAGTGACATCATCGTTGTGCTGCTGGTGTGTCAGTGGCTCTGAAAGGCCTGGACAGCCACTGATCAACTCTGACCTCTTAACAGCTGCAGCAGAGAGGCAGGACACATATGCAAACACACTCAGTCAGTCACATGGAGCTCAGCTCTACATGTTCTCTTATAACGGCCTCAGTTTCTATCGNCGTGTTCTCTGAACTGCAGATGGTTTTGACTTTTGAAATAATCTACAAAAATACATTAACATACTAAATTAAAAAGAGAAAATAGGCCAGTTTAGGCCATATAAGCAGCTTTAATTAAAACTTGTAGGTCAAGTGAAGAAACACACCAGTTATAAACTTATAAAGGTAAACTACATAATTTCAAAGTTAAATAAAGAACACTAAATTAGATTACATTTATCAAATATTTCTGTTGTATCTGAGCTATAAAAACATTTCACATTCCCCATGGCTGGTTTTAAATAAATCAGTGAATACTTCCCTGTTTTCTCTCATCCCTCTTGGGTACAACATTTAACTTCTGATCCCTCATTTTTAACAATGTAGAGTTCAATGGGGCTGATTTCTGCTGCATCGTAGCAAAATCAATCCATAACAGTTATCCCTCCATGCTTCAAGGATAGAATGAGGTTCTTATCTTGTAGTGCTGTATGTGACTGAAGTGTCACATCTCCTTGCGTTCAAATAATTCGGTTTTTGATTCGTATCCAAAGAGTCATTACTCCAGAGGTTATATTTACTTATTATTTTGAGAGCATAGATTACCTCTTGGAACCATCCTCACAAAGATTAAAACACATTCTTTTGATTGTTGTGGTATTTCCTTTCATATCAACAGTAGCAAGATCATTCTGTGGATCTATTGATTATATTTTAGAGACTTGTTTCAGCAACTTATGATCTGCTTTGGAGGTGAATTCTCTTGGTCACATTGCTCTATATTCATGTTAACCATTTGTTCCAATCATCTCAACCTGTAAACTCCTTTCCTAACAGAACTGTCATTTTAACATGATTTTTAGACTTTTTTACATCCATTTCCAGACTCATAAGTTGTGTCTGGTCCGCCCATTGATCTTCTTTATGACTGGATGACAGCATTTTACTTCACATTCTCATTTAAAACATCAAGAGAAAACCAATCTACATGTCAGAAATGTAAACAGAGTAAACCTACTTCAACTTAAAGAGGAACAATGTCTATATAGCAGTACATGATCGTCATTTTGGGTGGGAATAATTGTGGGGCTATTTTAATTGTATTTTTATTCCATTTTAGAGAAATTAAAAATATCTACAGTTCATATTTTATTGAGAGTAAGATGTAAATAAATTTATTAGTAATTCTCAAGTTAACAATAAATGTTCTTACATCAAACTGTGTTAGACAAGAAATCATTATGAGTTTTAATTTTTCACGTTTTTAGCTTTCAAAAATCTTAAAAATTCTAGTTCTCCATGTTTTGTGTTCAGAGAGCCGTGTCTCTCTACAGTCAGAGGTTTTTGTACGACGGCTCAATGAGTTTGTATCACTGTGGTACACGTTCGGTGGAGGAACCAGACTGGATGTTGGAAGTAAGTCAAATATAAAACCGTTGTTTTTAGTTTTACTTGATTGTATTGTTTTAATTCTGTTTGACAGATTGAGGCTTGAAAAGATGCATTATTTTATGTTTTACAAAGAATGTTTCAAGATACAGAACATATGTGATAGTTTATATCCCAAATTACAACAAAGTATTACAAGTTAATATTGATCTAAGTAGTAAAAAATATCTTAGTTTAATCTTGGTTTGTAGGTTTAGGTTAGTCAGACAAAGTCAGAGAGCTGCGTCTCTCTACAGTCAGAGGTTTTTGTACGGCGCCTCAGTGAGTTTGTATCACTGTGGTGGACTTTTGGTGGAGGAACCAGACTGGATGTTGGAAGTAAGTTAATATTAAGATTTAAAAAATGTTGGCATGTTTAAAAGTAAATGAAAGCATGAAATTATATATTTGCTATAATTACTTTCTTATGTCATAAAAATAGAATCTCACTTCAACATGAAGTGAAATATTTTATGTTCACATTATATAAAATGTTGCTTCTGAAATAAATGTCAAGACTGAGGTTTGGTAAGTTTGTCAGTGTTATCAACTTAATGCTTTTCTACAAGTTTTAAGCAAGTTTGGTGGTTTGGTGTATAAATTCTGAGAGAGCAGATTTTATTGGTTCCACCAATAACCTAACTTGTTATCGATGGAATCAAATCAATCTTAATCTGCTGTTGAAAACGGACAGAGAAAACTTTAGTTTGTTTCTTGTTTCAATATAAACTCTTTCTTTAAAATCTATTGAATTCACAAATATTTGTTGCAATCATAAAATAATTTATTGTTGCATTTAAACATGAGATTCTGAATTTTTTTTTTCTTATTTTAATTGTAAGACTACTTTAAATTTTTCATTGTAGGCTATTTTAAAATTTTTTGGTGATTTTACTTGTGCTGATCTGAGTCTTCTAAAGGGAAGTGAAACAATGTGTCAGTGAGTGACGAGTGAAGCATGAAAACATCTGGCAGAAACTTCTTATTTTAGAAAACCCCTCACTAACTGTAACCATGACACAGTATCTGCTGATTAACATCTGTAGTTCCTGATCTCTAACCTGATTGGTGTCTCCTAGGTGATACCCGCCCCACCCTGACAGTGCTGCCCCCCTCCAGTGTGGAGCTGCAGCAGCAGCAGGTTACCCTCATGTGTCTGGCCAACAAGGGCTTCCCCTCAGACTGGACTCTGTCCTGGAAGCTGGACGGCAGCAGCAGCAGCAGCAGCTGGGAGGAGACCAAGAGCGACGGAGTGAAGCAGAATGACGGCCTCTACAGCTGGAGCAGCACCCTGAGGCTCCCTGCAGACCAGTGGAGGAAGGTGGGCTCTGTGACCTGTGAGGCCTCCCAGGGCTCCCAGTCTGCAGTCACAGAGACACTGAGGAGAGACCAGTGCTCCCAGTCCTGAGCTGATTCTAATGTTTCATTCTGCTATAGGTCACTTGCTTTAAAAATCTTTGTTTTATTTCATCTTCATAACCTCTGTTATGTGTTTAAAAGCTCAATTTCTGTCAAAAATAATAAAATCAAAATCCTTACTCCTGTTTTGACTTCTTTATTTTTCTGTTCTTACCTTGTCAGAGGAAAAACAATGTTTTGTTCACTGTGTGCTGCATGTTAGTAGAGGTTGTTTGCTGCAGAAACTGCAGCTCATCAGTATTTTTACAATAAATTTATCATTTCATTTCAGTTTATTCATATAGCTAAAATTTATTAAATTAATGTTATCTTGTTGTACTATACCAAAAATGATTTAATAGGCTTAAAAGAGAAAAAACTTTACATCCTATTAAGTTATGTTATGACAACTTGACATTAACCAAGAAATCATTACTGTTTAAACTTTACCTTTAATAACATAAAGTTACCTAATTTTTAAAGTGCAATCAGTAATACTTTTATAACAAATTTATATCAGTAATGATTTCTTGGTTAATGTCAAGTTGTCATAAAGACATTTTGAATAATGTCAACTTTGTATTAAAAGTGTCATAATTTACCGAATGACACTTTATGACTGTTGTCATAAATATTCATGAAGGCTTATTCATGTTCATGACGGGTGTTATGTCATGTTTATGAAAGTGCCTTGACAGTCTTATTCACCCCCCTTCAAATAAAGTGTTACCAAATAATGTATCTCCATTTAAATAAACTCAACACACAACCCTAGATTGTGATTAGAAAATCTCCATGTGTACCTATATGAAAACAAAGTTTCTCCAAGTGTAATATTCCAACCTCTTTATTAATTTCAAAGCCATATCGGAAACGTGCCACTTATTTCAATATTTACGTGAATGTCGTGGTGTCTGTGCTTAGTGAGATGTTTCAGTGTCTGCTGTAACATCCAACTGGAGTTTCTATTCAGTCAGACTGGAGGTTTTTGTACGACTGTTTTTCACTGTGTGAACACATACTGGCTGTTGGGGTAATGAAAACTCTGACAGTAATAAACTGCAGCATCTTCAGCCTGAACTCCACTGATGGTCAGAGTGAAGTCAGAGTTTGATCCACTGCCTGAAAAACGACTTGGAGTCCCTGATGCTTTAGTGCTGGTAGCATAAATGAGGAGCTTAGGAGATTGTCCGTCTTTCTGTTGGTACCAGGCTAAATAGTTGTTGTTAAAAACATTCTGACTGGTTCTACATCTGATGGTGGCAGATCCTCCAATATCAGCTCTCACTGCTGCAGGCTGCTGAGTCACTGTGATCTGACCTCTGACCTCTGAGGACACAGAGACAAAAACATGCAGCAGCTTCATGGTTTAGTCGGCTTCATTTCAGAGGGACAGATGTTCATAGAGGAGAGGAGTTGGATTCTCTGGACTTTACCTGTGAAGCAGCAGCAGAGGAGAGTCCAGATGAGGACGCAGATCAAAGTCATGTTTCTGATGATGAGGAGGATTTCTGTGTCTTCTGCTGTGATGAAGGACAGCTGTCAGTCATCCAGTGTTCAACTGTCAGGACTATAAACTCTCCCAGAGCGCTGGAGCATGGAGCTGCTGATGCAAAGTGGCTCTATGGAAATGCTCTGAATGAGTCCAACTTCAAACTGCTGCTCCTTTTACTTATTTCATTGTTTCCTCTGAAGCACAAGTCTGATGTGTTTTTCTCAAATCAGAAACATAAAATGCTTAAGTTTTTTTTAATGTTTTTTTTTAAGTAAAATGTCACTCATATTCCTGATTTTGAATTACTCTTATGTATAGATATTTTTGAAGGCTCCTTTATGTGTCTATGGAATTTTTTTAGATATAAAAAAATAAGATGAAAGAGTTATAAATTTAACTCAGTGTGCCATAGCATGGATCACTTTAAACAGGAAATCAGCTTCTCCTTCCTGTACATCTTAAATAAATTAGAGTTTTAATAGTTTGAAGACTCTAACAAGTAAATACTTTTAATCAAAATTATCATTAATAAATCTCTGAGGACATCTAATTAATGAAAAGTCAATCAAGCGTCTGACTGTGTCATAAAAAGCCATTCATTTTCTTTTAGGAATATAATTAATGAAATGTTTTTCTTTAACAATATTTAGAATAAATTATTTCACAGCTCACAGTAGAATTTTGTTGCAACATTATTGGGCGCAGCACAGTCTAACACATAGACTATCACATAGGCAATACTGGTTTTAACTTGTTCAATTTAATTATTGAAAATAATATATTGAACACTGTGATTATGTACTTTTAGGAACCGTCACTCAGTGAAACAGTTTCTGTTTAACTGTTAAACTTTTTCTGTTTAACAGCAGCTGTGGATCAGTTCCTCTGCAGCCGAGAGGTTTTTGTACGACGTTGTATCACTGTGTGAACGGGAAGCTATTACACTGCTGACAGTAATAATCTCCTCCATCTTCAGCCTGAATGCCACTGATTGTTAAAGTGTAATCAGTTCCAGATCCACTTCCACTAAAACGATCTGGAATCCCAGACTGACGAGATGAAGCATAGTATATTAAAAGTTTTGGAGATTGTTTGTCCTTCTGAAGGTACCAGTTGAGGCAGGTACCAGCACTGGAACTGGCTTTACATCTGATGGACACAGTATGTCCTGGAGCAACAGACTGGGAAACCGGAGTCTGAGTCAGGATGATATCTGCTGAGGAACCTAGAAAATTAAAAAAGGGAAAAATCAGGAGGAGCAATTATGTCAATACAAATAAAAAAAAGGAAAATATATAATACAATAAGAGGCTCAAGTCTTGAAGAATGAGTAAAGTGGCTCTTCAATGAATGATCATCAAACTGTTCCATCCTGAAACAGAGTTTGAAGTCTCACCCTGAACCAGGAGCCCCAGGATGGTCAGCAGTAGAGTCAGTGACATCATCGTTGTGCTGCTGGTGTGTCAGTGGCTCTGAAAGGCCTGGACAGCCACGGATCAACTCTGACCTCTTAACAGCTGCAGCAGAGAGGCAGGACACATATGCAAACACACTCAGTCAGTCACATGGAGCTCAGCTCATCTTTCTGTGACATTCAGATCAAAGCTGAAAGATTTGCATCTGGAAAACCAAAGGGGTTCAGTTTTGAGGAGAATTTATAAGGGATGCAAGACTTTTCAATCCATTCTCACTTTCTTTGTGTAATATTTTATGGAACAATGATAAAGTTCCTGCATAACTAGATCATAACCATAGTGTCTGTTTTTGATCAGAAGAACAAAGAGGATTCCCATCAGAATTTGCTGTTTAACTAACAATATTTTGGAGTTTGATGAAAATCATACAAATATAACTTCAGGGATTAAATAAGCTTTCAAAGAGAAACAAATGGAGGAGAAGCTTTGGATGAAACATTGAACACTTTAGAAAACAAGTTATTAACTCACATATCACTCCAGAATAAAAGTATAATGTTTGTTTGATGGACTGTTCTTTTGCTCAGCCTGAAAACTCCAAAGAATCTACATCTGTTAGCATTTTATTCACAAAAAATAACAGAATTTAAACAATTAAGAATGAAAGTTACAATTTACACCTACGTTAAATTACTCATCTGTATTAAACACATCAAATCAGACAAATACAATAAAAACAAAGACTGAGCTGAGTTATGAGTATTAGCATTAGTTATTATTAGTTAGTGGGATTCATCTCTCTTAGTAGAAATAAAATATCTACAATTTCATAATGGATGCTGTTGCATTTAGTGCTGCTTTGTTTAGCTGGACAGTGTCTGTGTTTCTATGTAAAGTCATGTGGATTGAGCCTGTTTGTATCAACCCTCCATGTCTACTGTGACTCATCAGTACCCTTCAGCTCCATGTAGAGTGAGAAAATATTTGGATTTTATGTTAGTTGTGAATGTTCAAAGTCTTAAAGGTGTTTGACAATTAGTCACGCAAACTTCATATTAGCTGACAGGTGTAATTTTAGTGTACATCTGGTTAGCTTGTTTAGCATTCAACACCTTGACGGATGGATGTATCTGATTGTCGAACAAACTGAAGGCGGTATGACTTCTTTCTACAACATTTTATAAAATAATCACCCTCCACAGAACCTTAAATCAATAAAACCAAATCAACTGTTTAAGTGTAATAAAACTGAATTTCAGGCTGTATACAGTAGATCACTGCTAATCTTTATTTTATTTTTTTTTTTTTTTTACACACTGCAGACATGTTCGCTGGCCAAACCTCTGAACTTATGGATCAGTTTCAGTGCTCCATCCATCGCTCTACTTCTGAGGTAACGTCCTCACCTCCATTTGTTAAAAATGCAGGGCAAGTTAAGCTTAATTCTTCGCAGCGGCGGAGCCGCGACCGCATTGGTTGCGCAGCCCACTGCGCATGGATCTGATTAACTTTTGCACCTTTATTTATTCCCTCAAAATAAACTGCTGGCTCCTCTGTTTAGACTATAAATGGATTAAAACAACCTTGCATTCTCTTTAGTTTTCTCTGTTCTGTACTGGAGACTGGAGTTAAAAGCGCCATTTCAACTAAAGGTTTGCAATGAGCTTCCTAACCAGACGCTCCAAGCTCCATAACGCTGTCAGCTCACGGTCAGAAAGACGTATTTAGTTCAGCGTCCATGAGATGATATTCAGAAAGGATTTTTTAATTGATTGATTTTAGTTGCCTCTGCGATGAACTCTTTGCGTAAAGTCTATAATGTCTCCATGTGCTCCAGTCAAGGGTGTTAATTATAACCTGTCAAATGACAGAGGGGCTTAAAAAATAACCAAATATTCAGTTTGGTTATTTTTTTTTAAATTATATATATATATATATGTAGATACATATCTACATCTGTATGTCTATATATCTATACATGGAGAGGTAGATATAGATATCTATATCTACCTCTCCATGTAGAGGAGAGGTAGATAGATAGATAGATAGATAGATAGATAGATAGATAGATAGATAGATAGATAGATAGATAGATGTCTACATTTCTACATCTATATATCTATATATCTACTTCTCTCTATATATGTATAGAGAGGTAGATGTATAGATAGATTGATATTGATATGTAGATATATATATAGATTTATATGTATTTATAGAGAGAGACAGATTGATAGATTTAGATATAGATATCTATATCTATAGAGATATGTTTATAGATATATGGAACAATTTAGATAGGGATATAAATATCTTGCCAAGAAAGATAGTTTTCCACATTTTTTCCAAATTTTATTGGTTAGACTTCTAAAATGCTCTTTTTGTTCCACGTTGTTTACATTTTTTCCCTAAATCTGCCTTTAATCAGTAAATGTGGTTGTCTTATTTTCTGTTTAGAATTAGAAATACAAATCTTACAGTGGATGAACATGTTATTGAACGTGGGGGAAGCCGGAGCACCCGGAGTGAACCCACATCTACACGGGGAGACATTCCCACCGTGCAGTCTTGTCTTTTTAATATTAAAATGTCCAATTTACAACAACAGCAGCTCTTTTTCCAGTTCCTGTAGTTTCTACAGAATTGGAAACTACAGGAACTGGAAAAAGAGTTGCTGACCTGTTACATCTTCAGGTTTTTCAATGGATTTTCCATCCATTGAAAAATCTTACAGTGGATGAACTTGACTTCTGATGCTGTTGAACGTGGGGGAAGCCGGAGCACCCGGAGTGAACCCACACCTACACGGGGAGACATTCCCACCGAGCAGTCCTGTCTTTTTAATATTAAATATCCAATTAACAACAACAGCAGCTCTTTTTTCAATTCCCGCCAATTACCCAAAACACACATGGCCCCACCCCCCTTTTAAATCTAATGTACTGAGACGTAAGTTGATCTGTGTTGTTTTGACTTAACGTCTGTCTTTGAATTGGCGCAGACATGTTGGTGTCAAAGCCTTTTTGATTCTCCTCCACAGCGAGATATTCTTCCTGGGGCGCTCTTCTTGTTCAGACATATTCTTCTGTTCAGCTGACTCTTCATCTCCTTGAAGTTCTGATTCCTCAGGTGTTGTTTGGATTATGTCTTCCTTTAATGTGACCTTCATCTGTGGAGGAGATGTTCTTTGTTCCTCCGTTAGGCCATTCTCCCCTTCTGTGGACACTGCATGAACTTTACTTGTTACATCTTCTGAAGTTGTGCAAAGGTTTGTGACTGTTTTTTCACAAACTGTCTGAGGGATCTCAAAATCAGTTTTTGGTGTCTCGATGTTTGTCTCATCCTGCTGGTCCCCATTTTGTTGTATTCCCATTTCGTCTTCAGTCGGCTGCTGTGGTTTGTCAATCACTGTTTTGTTTTCACAAATCTCAATTATGATGGTGGCTCTCTGATCCTTGACTATTTCCGGTATTGAAACTTCTTCTTCCATGTTTTCTCCAAAAACTTGATCATTATTGGTTGTTTCCCGTTCAGAGGCAGCTTTCAATGCTGCCTTTCTCTTGTTCTTATTCTTAGATTTTTTTGATCGTTTCTTCATTTCATTAACTCCATTTTGTTGTCTTTCAGAGATTATTTCCTCTTCCGAGATTTGCTGGGGACTGTAGATTGTTGTTTCAATCATATGAGTATTTTTGACTGTGGCTGCCTGATCCCCACCTGTTTCTGGTAAAGAAGCTTCTTTTTCACAGTTTTTTCCAGAAACTTTGTCCTTGTTGGGGTTTTCCAAATCAGATGCAGCTTTCATTGCAGCCTTTCTCTTGGTCCTCCATTTAGCTTTCCTTGATGGCTTTTTGTTATCTTGCTCGTCCCCATTTGGTTGGTTTTCAGATATGTTTTTTTCCTCAGTGATCTGCTGTTCTTTAACGATCACCGTTTCTTTTGCATGAGTCTCATTTTCGATGGTGCCTGTCTGATCCCCAACCGTTTCTGGTGCTGAAATGTGTTGTTCTTCACCATTTGATTCAGAAAGCTTTTCTTTACTGATGGTTTCCAATTCAATCATTCGATGGACTGGAAACCGATAGCCGGTTTCCAGCACATCCATTTCTGTTTGAGTTGAAGTCGTCCGACTGATTGGTTTCACTTGACATTTGGTTTCGAGCACATCCATTTCTGTTTGAGTTGAAGTCGTCCGACTGACTGGTTTTAACTGGTAGCTGGTTTCCCGTATATCCCTCGCTATTTGTACTGAACCAGATCGAGTATGGACGGTTTTCTGCCATGAGCAGTCTTGGGAATCTTCATGAATTTGAACAGAAACCACTGAAGTCTTGCTTTGGCTTCTCTCTGAGAGTCCTTTCCTCGTCAGCTCTTTCTGCTGTCTGAGTTTAGCACTCAGTTTACGATTTATATCGAAGAGCTCATCAAGTTGTTTCATTAAATATTTCTGTACTTTTATATATTCCAATTCAGAGGCTTTAAATTTGGCTTCGCACATACATTTTCCTTGACTTGTCTTTTCAGAGGAGTGGGGCAAATTTTGAATTTCTCTGAAACACTCTCCTTTAACATTTTCTGATGTTTGATTTTCTTCTTGTGCTGGCTTTGACACTTTTTGAGTTTCAATATTCTCAGCAATAAAACTTATATCCATGTGAGGTTCAGATTTGGGGAGCACTTTCCAAAATGACTTTTTTCCGCTGCTGGGCAAAGCTGCCTGAGAACTATTTTCAGTGAAAAATGTAAGATCTATAGAAGCGTCTGACTCTGGAAAAGATTTCCAAAGCAATGGCTTCTTCTTGATGCGCTTAGTTTTTGAAATCTGTTTCTCCACTTTTTGATCCTCTCTCTGTTGTGGTTTGGAGATGGATTTCTTTTCAGTGACCAGCTGTTTTGTGGAAATTACAGGTTCCTCTTTGCAAATCTCCTTTAAGGAATCTTCCAGATTACCTTCTTCTTCAGGCAGAGAAATGTCTTGGTTATTAACGTTTTCACCACAAGACTTAAAGGACTTCTGTGCTATATTGATAATTTCCTGCAGTCCAGAGATCTGTACTTTTTCGGTAACTGG